TATTTTTCAAAATAACTTCTTTGTAGTGGAGTTACTTTATTTATATTATATATATAAAAGAAAATAATTTGAATTTACTCAAACAATACATCAATGTCTCTCGGTATTTTTAATATATTAATTAAATTACAAAAACCATCAATTGATGGTTTCTGTTCCAAGATCATGATATCTATACATTTGTAAATCGAGTTATTGAAATCAAATTTTGATTGCAAATATTCTTAAATTGTCTTAATTAAAATATTTGCTTCATTTAAAAATACATTAGAGTAATATTTGAACATTTTAATATGATATTTTTAGCAATAGCGCCATAAAATTTAATGTCCATTTTTAACTTTAAAGATGAACACAGCTGCAGCATAATTTTGTGAATTTTATTAAAAAAGATTCTTCTGATCGCAACTGCATATTAACAGTATGTAGTAGATTTCCTGCATGTGAAATCATTCTTAAATATGACTCTGCCATTTAATTCTCAAAAAATTTTTCAAAATATTGCTTTTATAATTTTTATTTAAGAAATATATTTTAAAGGTTTGTAAAATTTTAAAATTCTATCGATGGCGGGTATTATAACCATCTGATAGGGACATGTCGCAACAACTCACACCATTCCAAGTCAGACCACTCGACAACTTATTTAATCCATTAGCTCTTTTAGTTGATGAACTAAATTCATTAAAACATTTCATTACAATTATTTCGACATCCACAGATAATATATTCATTGTCTTCTTGCAAGAATTATGTAGTGTATGGCATATACAGCCAACAGGCGCGTAACCAATGGGGGAGGGGGGGGGGAAAGGGGGAAATTTCACCCCCCATAGCAAATTTGACTGTTTTTCTAAATATTATTTTAAGATAATAAAAAATTTTACCCCGACCCCAGGACCCCCTCCCCCTGCCCCATCAAAATTTTTCAATATCAAGCAGAGTTTATCCTTACTGCTAGTTGCATTAATAAATTATTTTCCTATAGCTCACTACTATGTAGAAATTTACAAAAACCAAATTTCAATTTGGTTCAAGTTATTGATTTGGAGGAAAATGTGGACAGGAAGAATGAATGTAGTTGAATATTTCATAATATTTATATAGACGTTGAATTAAATCTTATAAAATATCCAATTTCATTCCATTCTTAGATACTTTTTTATCGCAAATTAAAGTACGGTTTTTAGATAAAAAACAAGTCTTTGGTAATCTTCAAATTTTATTACCTAAAGACCCTTCTTCGTTTTCTGATGCCATTATTGGTATAATTAAATATTTAGCAAAATTTTATTCCTATGATGTTGATACTGAAATCAATTTAATCAGTGAATTCGAATTGTGGTATAAATATTTACTACGTTTATTATTTTACCTGAGCATGCTATTGATGCGCTCAATCGGTATAAGGAGGCTTAATTTATTTTGAAAGTTCTTGGATGTTTGCCTATTACAACATATATGAATGAAAGGACCTTTTTCAAATTGAGAAGGTTGAAAACTTATTTACAAAATACTACTTCTCGGCTAAATAGGTTAGCTATGTTAAATATCCACAGAGATTTATTTCCAACGACAAAGAAAATTCTTGATGAATTGGAAAAATTCCCACGAAAATTAAAAATCGTATTATAATTCTAGTATATAATAAATTTTTTATATAATATTGTATTTAATAAGTTATAAAAACTTGTTCTTTAAAAAATTTTCTAGTCAATATTTTATACTCACTACAATTAGAATTTTCAATCAAAAAAATTTTATATTTATATTATATGAGAATTTAAACTGAGGCTAGTTTTTAAAGCAAATTTTATAAAAAAAAAATTGACACTAAACTTTATTTAAATTTTATATTTTTAAAAAAAAATTTATCTATAATATACCTAACTTAAAATAAAAATTGGGTTATAACTTTTATTTATTCTTATATTCATAAGCGCGAATTAGTAATCAGGAGACCCAAAAGAAAGCGACTACTTACGTCAACGCATAGGAATTCAGATTATAAAATCTAATTTTACACGCCATAGGTTCATTCCCCGAGGAGCCGATTAATCTAGATTTTCTTCTTCTTCCCTAAATTATTTAAACCCCCCCCCTTCTTCTTCATATAATCATTTGCATTTATTATATTTCTATTATATCTATTATTATACTTTGTATTATGAAGTCCTTGTTTGTTAAATTTCTTGAATTTTCTAGAATTATGTTTTGGATATGATTTTATTTTTATACTATCATTTTGTCAGATTTAATTTGTCTTTATTAATAAATGTTAAATTTAAAAATTAAAAAAAAAATTTCTTAAATAATTTATTTATAAAAGGAACCAAAATTCAAATAAAAATTAAAAATATTAATATAATTATTATTGAATTATGAATAATTTAAAAGAATAGATCAAAGATATGACCCGGCCGAAGGTGAGGAAAAAGCTGGCCAAAGGGGGGTTGGAAGCAAAGCCCCCAAAAAAAATTTCCCCCCTATAGGAAAATCCTGGATACACCACTGACAGCCAATTGGTATAAGGTCTACATTGTGCTGCCTCAATTCTGTAAATACACTCTGAATTTTGCCAAAATTCACTGAGGCCTTATCAGTGCAGAAAGAACTCATTGATAATCTCGAATCTGCTATATTTACCATTATATGGTTAGCTATGCCATTGGATTTTTCAACATCTGAGGGAAAAAATTTATTATATTGAAACGCCCTTATTTTTGTTGAGATAGCGGAGTATCAAGGGAAATGTTTTAATATTTCTCTTATTAGATGCATCTGTTAGAATTGCATATGAATGTCTATCTTTCAAATCATCAAAAATTGACCTCCTGGATTTAGGTCCTAAAACATTGGTGATAGCCTTGCTCATTTTTGTTCCAACACAAGTAAAGTTTTCACTATATTGGAGTGGTTAAATATTATGGGGAAAAGATTTGACTCACATTGTGATGATAAGTAGCTCTGTGAATGTTAAACTACATAATACCATTTCCGCAATTGTAGTTGCACCTGTATTATTTCTTATTTTTGGAGCATATTTTTGTATTGCAATAGATATAGATACACTCCCCTGTACTGATTATAATAATAATGTGATTGAACTATAATAAATAAAATAATTATCATTGAAATATTATGTATTTAAAAGTGATACGTGATAATTAAGTGTCTAGCCCTATAATGTTATACACAATACACATGAAAATGATAAAATATGAATGAATGATGTTGATTTATTATTGAATAAAAATAAACATATGATTAAGATAAGGATAGAAAGAAATTTAAAAACTAGACATGTTTTCTAATAAATATTAAAAATTTATTTTAAAAATATAAAAATAATCAATTACTCTTTCTCAAAATTATTATTTATATATAAAAAACGTTAAAATGCTTAAAAAAATTGTGCAGAAGAAATTTAAAAATTGCGGTAGATTTCCAATTGCGGTAGTTTAGAGGGAGTGAGGTGTCTGCGTGTAAATTAATAAAATGCAGGAGTTTCCCGCTTATGGGAGAAACATGGCAACCTTGAGCATGATGTCAAAGTATTTAATATTTTATTTATAACTCAGTTTCTATTCGTGTTTCTCATATTTGAGTGAGGAATTGAAAGTACTAGTCAGGCATTATTTTAGGGCAAGCCAGATATATAGTTTTTATATTTTCCATTTTAGCACGATATTTATTTTGGCATATTCTTTTTTCTATAAACTGTCTACCAAATGGATTAATTAAATTTATATACAATTATCTTATGAACATTGATAAAATTTACTGAATAAATGCTTTTATTCGTTTTTAATATTAAGCTTGGCCAAGATCTTGTTAATAATAATTTTTCCTTTATACTGGTCAATAAGTATTAAACATTGACATATTTTAGAATTATCAGCCAACTTTAATGGGTATTAGCATAAAATCAATGATATATAAGAATTTTTTTATAGTAGGCCAAAAGCCGGGTAAAATAGGGTTTGGTGGCAAAGTCCCTCAAAATTTTTTTAACCTCCCCCCTCCCATTTCTTACAAGAATATCCTGTCTATTCCACTGATTTACTGTATAGGGAAATTTTTATAGGAGCCTCAAATTATGGGGGGTGGGTCTATAAGAATTTTTATCTTTGTAGGAACTTCTAGATTTTTTGTTGTATGTCTTTGTGAATACGGAAAGATATTCAAATACAAAAAAACATCACTCTATTTTAAAATAAAATGTGGCATCATTTAAAAAACTGTCATGATCCTAAATCATTAATTAAATTTAGGTTGTAATGATCATATAAAAATTAAGTGACTGAGAATTTAAATTTTATTAGTATAAAAATAAGGATTATAGATTTATATTTTAAATAATGTATTTTTATTGAAATGGTGTATGATTTGGGCTCATTTAAGGACATCATTATCAGCTAGGTTAAAATGTGATCATTCAATATCCTGACAAATAATAAAATTTTCTTATTGTTTTCCCATGAGAAATATACCATAGATTTCATAAAAGATAATATAAATTCATAAATGAAAATACAAATTCATAATTATTATTTAATTATCAAATTTTTTACTAATTATATTTAATGAAAAATAATAAAATGGAAAATATTAATTTATGGAGACAGAATTAAACCATTATGTCATGATACATCTTACTTTTAATTTTTAGCTAGAGACATATAGGAAAAAGATTAATATTAAAATATATAATTTATTGTTTGTGAAACCCATATTACTGATTTTATTATAATGTACTGTTTTATATGTGTAAATTATACAATGTTAAGAATTGATTAGGAATATATAAAAATATCAAACCCATTGTAATAAACTAACTTAAAATAATTTTAATTTAATAAATCTTAAAAATATCCTTATAAATAATTAATAAATTTTAAACAAATATAATTTAAAATATGGCTAAAAAATCAATATAATATATATGTAATTAAAGCCGATAAATATAAATTCATTAAAATTATGTTCTTTTTTTTTACCTCAAAACAAATTGGCCGAGGATAGGTGTAACCCAGTTGCAAATATATTTGATGCTATTGACAATCTTTTAGATGGCAAATATAATGATGGATAGGTGTAACCCAGTTGCAAAAATATTTGATGCTATTGACAATCTTTTAGATGGCAAATATAATCACGGATAGTTGCATCCTAATTTCAAATATAAATAAAGATAATGACAAAAAATATGCTAATTTTTAATGTGGGAAAATTTAATAAAATTTTAAAATAAATAATAAAAATTAATAATATATAACACCTTATGAATTGGGATCTAACTAAAATTCTTTTATGAATTCCATATAATATCAAATCTTCTAATTACTTTTTATCCTTAAATAATAGATACATACCTAAGTGTTTCAGGGTTTAAAATAAATAGCTGATATTATTCTAACAAAAATATGATCCTTCACTTATGATTTCAAATTTTTCCTACATTTATATTATTTGGGATCTAAATTCTTCCTTATATCAAATCTTCAGTAGATTCTTTATTTTATTTTTAAGATAGATACATACCTAAAAGTGTGTCAGGTTAGCTGATATTATTCTAATAAAAATATGATACTTGACTTATAATTTCAAATTTTTACTACATTTATATTATTTGGGATCTAAATTCTTCCTTATATCAAATCTTCAGTAGATTCTTTATTTTATTTTTAAAGATAGATACACACCTAAAAGTGTGTCAGGGTTAGCTGATATTATTCTAATAAAAATATAGATCTTTCATTTATAATTTCAAATTATTCCTACTCTTATATTACTCTAATTGTTTCAAGTTTTTTAGGCAAAAATTTTTGAAATTTGGCTTTAATAATAAATTAGAATTTATAAAGTGCTCTTATATTTTTTAAAATTATATTTCAGTTAAATTAATGAAGATAAAAGAAATCAAAATTACTATAAATAATTATTTAGGGTATAGTATAGGAAAAAGTGTTATTATCCTTCAAAAAAGCTTTTTTTTGCTTTAATTCTAACATAAATCAAATTTAAAAAAAGAGATAAAATCAAGTCAACAAATTCAATTGAAATTATTTTATTCATAAAATTTCATTTACAACTGTAAATCTAATAAATACATAAATAAATAATTATAATCATTTAATAATTAAAATATAAAATGCGAATAAAATTTCATTTACAACTGTAATACATAAATAATTATAATCATTTAAAAATTAAAATATAAAATGCGATTAAAAATAAATTTAACAATTTAAACAATACCAATAAGTTTTATATGGTTTTTATTAAATTTTTTGACATTTAAAATGAAACCAGGACAAGCAAGAATCACATAATATGGAGGCATCATCATTTAAAGCAATATAACATTTTTGACAAATCCATGGCTCTGCCATAATCTTCTCATTTAATTCCAGAATCTTTTCCCACGCATCATTTGTGAAATAAGATTTTATTATTTTAAAATCCACATCATCATTTTTTAAAGATTGCATATCATTTTTTTTGGTACTAATGTCATCAGAATTTAACAACTCATTAATTGAATGAAGACTGTTTACATAATTTATTTATGATCCATTCTATTAAATTATTTGAGCCAAACTTGTATATTGAATAATTTGATATCAGAATCAGTGGTGAATCTATTAAAAATATCATAGTTTTATTTAAAAATATTAATTTACCTTGAATTTTATTAAATTATTTGAGCCAAACTTGTATATTGAATAATTTGATATCAGAATCAGTAGTGAATCTATTAAAAATATCATAGTTTTATTTAAAAATATTAATTTACCTTATATTTTATTAAATTATTTGAGATAAACTTGTATATTGAATAATTTGATATCAGAATCAGTGGTCAATCTATTTAAAATATCATATAATTTTATTTAAAAATATTAATTTTCCTTGAATTTTATTAAATTATTTGAGCCAAACTTGTATATTGAATAATTTGATATCAGAATCAGTGGTCAATCTATTTAAAATATCATATAATTTTATTTAAAAATTTTATTTTACCATTTGAAAGAATTAATGGTTGAATTTGTATGTTTGTAATTGGCGGGGAAAAAAAGGGGGTTGCACGCATCCTTTGCGAAACAAAAAATTCATCTGCTATTTAAAATCAGATGGTATAATTATGTTAATAATACTTCCTTTAAAAAAATATTGTGTTTTTTCGTAATTACTTTTAAAAACCATTTTACCTGCTTACTTAAAATATAGCAGGGCAAGAGAAGAAAAAACAATTCTGGTATATGGAAACTCACTAAAAAAAGCCTGAAGAAATAAAAAATCTTAGGAAACTTAAGATGAGTCTACTTATCGATGACTTTGGTTTCTAGTTAAAAAAAAACTTACGCCACATGGTTGGAGTCAGAATAAATGTAGCATTTTATCTGTTCTGTGCTGAATTACAGCATGCCAAAGCCAATATGATGATCCCCAGCTTGACCTAGCCCTGCCCAACATTGCGCTAACTCATTTGAACATGACCTAATTTTACTGAATTAAAAATTAATATCTCTCAGTAAACTACAATTTATTATCAACCAATAAATCTTATACAAACTCTTTAGGTGATCATAATTTAGGCCAGGAATAACCAGCGTCTAGATGATAGGATACCCCCACAAAAATCTAAGCCTACCCCCTTAAAAAATTTGCTGACTTGGTGGCTATATTACCATTTAATATTTACACATATTTAATGATAATTGTAGTCCCTTCGTAACTTAAAAAAGAACTTAAATAATGACTGTTCTACTGCCAACTATCAAAATATTATGTATGTAAAAGAGTTATTTTTATACTATGAATTAAATTAAATACTCCTTAATTTACAATAAATGCATTATTATACAATGCTGTGCAGATTTAATTTAAAACATTTCCATATTTTCATTTGTAAATAAAATTATTTCACTTGTAAAAATTGATAGGAATTGTATAAATAAAATATGTTATTTTAACAATTTTTTGCAAGTCAAATAATCTTATTTTTAAATAAATTATAAAATATGGAAAAGTTAATCTTGAACTGATATCTATAGATATAAATGGGTCTTAATATTTTTATAACAAATATTTATTTAAATTATATGCGCATACAAATGAGATAAAATTTGCACTAAAACATTTTTATATTTTAGATAAAAAGCTTTAAAAAAAAGTATATCAAAATGTATCTTAAAAGTATCTATAAACAAATATAGATACCTCTGAAATAGTATATATATGTATAGATATTTTTTATACAACTCTGATAATCTTAATAAATTTTTAACAATATAATTATAAAAAGAAAAATTATTTATTTTAAAAAGTAAGTATTCATATTATTTATTAAAAAAATAAACATTTTTTTTATTTGCTGCCCCAATCAGGGTTGTCATGTCAAAATTTTCAAATTGCGGGAGAAATTTGGTATTATGCGGGAGAAATATGAAAATTGCGGTAGAAATATAAAAATGGGATTTTGAATTGACTTAATTATCCGCCTATTAATTTTATAATTAGTTTATATAAATACAAAGGCGGTAACTATTTTTCAAAATAAAATATGTCTTGATTTATTAAAATATATTAATTTATATAAAAACAACGATCTATTTTAAATATAAAAGAATGTAAACAAGATAAAATTATTAAAAAATCGATTTTAATTTTACAATTAAAAAAATATTTTATGTGAATGTCCCCGCAATTGGAAATCTACCGTGTGTGTATATAACATTATAGGGATAACTTAATTATCACGTATCACGTTTAATACATAATAAGGTACTCCAAAAATAAGAAATAATACAGATATAACTACAGTTGCGGCAATTTTAATCACTTATCTTGTAGTGCAACATTCACGGAGATACTTATCATCGCAGTGTTGGTAGAATCTTTTTCCCATAATATTTAACGACTCTAATATAAATGAAAACTATACTTGTAGAACAAAAATGAGCAAGGCTATCATCAATGTTTTAGGACCTAAATCCAGAAGTCAATTCTTGACGATTTGTAAGATGGGCATTCATATGCAATTCTAACAGATGCATCTAATAAGGGAAATATTCTCTGCTATTTCAACAAAATTAAGGTCGTTTCAATAAAACTATTAAATTTTTTCCCCTTAAATAGTAAAAAATCCAAAGACATAGCTAACCATATAATGGTAAATATAGCAGATTCGAGATTATCAATAAATTGCATGTCAGCTTTCTGATCTGATAATGCCTCAGTGAATTTTGTAAAAACAGGTATTTACAGAATTGTCAGCACAATGTTGGTTGCGATATATTCCTAATACCCGCCATCGATAGAATTTTAAAATTTTATAAACCTTTAAAAAAATATTTCTTAAATAAAGATTATAAAAGCTGTTGTAATATTTTGAAAATTTTCTTCAATAATGAATGGCAGAGTTATATTTAGGAATGATTTTACATGTAGGAAATCTACTACATGCTGTTAATGTGTAGTTGCAATCAGAAGAATCTTAACAAAGATTCACAAAATTATGCCGCAGAAGTGTTCATCTTTACAGTTAAAAATTGACAAAAAATTACTTAATTATATTTTATTTGAGATTTAAATAATAGAACTAAATGTTTACCGTCGTTATTGAGATATTTATAAAATTTCTGGCATGACTATATTTATTTAACCATTAGCTCGGCTTCTAATGTTGTTAAAGCAATCCGATTTCTCTCATTTTTCCAGGCAGTCCTCATCAGGCTAAAAATGCGCTAGGATGAGGTAAGGAGAAGACATGCTCGCATATTTTTTCCAAGCATGGGGATTAATCGTTATTACGAAAAAACTCTACCTATTTCTCCTCTGCTTTTATCTAACTTTAAGTATTTTGGCGAATCATAAATAATAAAAGGAATTACAATCTCCTCAAACTAGGCATCAATGTCTTTCAGTATTTTTAATATATTTATTAAATTATAAAAACCATCAATTGATGGTTTCTGTTCCAAGGTCATAATATTTATACATTTGTCAATAGAATTATTAAAATCAAATTTTAATTGTAAATATTCTAAAATTGTCTTAATAAAAATATCTGCTTCATTTAAAAATGTATTAATTAGAGTATTATTTGAACATTTAATCTAATATTTTTAGCAATAGCGCCATAAAATATATTATCAATTTTTAACTGTAAAGATGAACAGAGCTGTAGCATGATTTTGTGAATCTTTTTTAATAAAGAATATTCTGATTGCAACTGAATATTAACTGCATGAAGTAGATTTCCTACATGTGAAATGAATCCCAAATATGCTTCTGCTATTTCATACTCGAAAAAATTTTTCAAAATTTTAGGACAGCTTTTAAAATCTTTATTTAAAATGTATTTTTTTAAGGGTTTGTAAATTTTAAAATTCTATCGATGGCAGGTATTCATGACAACCACCTGATAGGTATATATCACAACAACTCACACCATTCCAAGTCAGATCATTTCACCAACTCTTTTAATTTATTAACTCTTTTAGTTGATGAACTAAATTCGTTAAAACATTTCATCACAATTATTTCGACATCCACAGATAGTACATTCATTGCCTTCTTGCAAGAATTATATAGTATATGGCATATACAGCCAATTAGTAGTAATTCATTATGGTGCTGCCTCAATTCAGTAACTTTGGTTTTTGCCAAAATTTACAGAGGCATTATCAGCGCAGAAAGCTGACATGCAAATCATTGATAACCCTGAATCAGCTATATTTACCATTATGTGGCTAGCTACATTGTTGGATTTTTCACTATCCGAGGGAAATATTTTAACAGTTTTATTGAAATGTTCTTATTCTTGTTGAAATAGCGAAGGATCGAGGGAAATGTTTTAATATTTTCCTTATTAGATGCATCTGTTAGAATTGCATATGAATGCCCATCTTTCAAATCATCTAGAATTGACCTATAGGATTCAGGTACTAAAAACTTGTGATAGCCTTGCTCATTTTTGTTCTGCCACAAGTAAGGTTTGCACTTATATTGGAGTCGTTAAATATCATGAGAAAAAGATTCGACCAACATTGTGATGATATAGCTCTGTGAATGTTGAACTACATGATAGATGTATACGATTTCCGCAAATGTAGTTGCATCTGTATTATTTATTATCTTTGAGAATATTTTTGTATTGCAATCGATGTTGATATACTCCTCTATACTGACTTATATGAATGAAATGATGTTGATTTATTATTGGATAAAAATAAAACAGGATAGAAAGAAATTTACAAACTAGACATGTTTTTCGAATAAATATTTAAAATGTATTTTTAAAATATAAGAATAATCAATTAATATCTCTCAAAATCATTATTTATATATTAAAAACGTTAAAATACTTTTTAAAAAAATTGCGGGAGAAATTAAAAAATTGCGGTAGATTTTAAATTGCGGTAGTTTTGCGGGAGATGTCTGCGTGTAAACTAAAAAATTGCGGGAGTCGCCCGCTGATGGGGGAGGTATGGCAACCCTGTCCCTAATGCTTATTTAAACATAAAATTACATAATACACTCACATGATTTTCTCTTAATTTATTTAAAAAAATAAGCAATATTAAATTTGCTTCCCTTGTGTATATTTTTTTAACGTAGTAAATATAATAGTAAATTTAACGTAGTAAAAATAATAGTAATTCTTCTTAATGTAAAAATAATATTAATATTTTTAACGTTATAAAAATTATATTAATTTTTTTTAAAGATTATTAAGTTTATTTAAGAATTTTTATAGGAAAAACTTCAAGGGAAGTAATGCTTCCCTTGCTTCTATGGAAGCTTCGTCACTAATTCAAATAGTAAAATTCAGTGACGAAGTGTCCATAGAAGCAGGGGAAGCATTGCGTATGAAATTTTTCATAAAAAATTCTTAAATAAAATTAATATAATCCTTATACTATGAAACAAAATGAATACTAATCTGACAGTTTTTAAAAAAATGAATAATATTTTCATAACGTTAAAAAAATCCCAATATTTTTACGTTAAAAAAATTATTACATTTTTCTAGTGTTGTTAAAAAGCAAGATTCTGGTCGACTTTTAAGAATGGCCCGATTAAGATTATAAGCAAAATAATATTGAGTAGGCCTGGTGATTTTGCTTGCGGAAAATATCAATCAGAAAATTTTAATTTATAAATAAAGATGAATTGCGCTTATTTATAAATCGTATTTTTTTGTATGGTTTGACCATTGATTATTATGTTATTGGGTTTGACTAATAAAAATTCAATGGCCTTCTTAGTAATAAACGTGAAGCCTAGTCACTGGTAGAATCATATATATGAATGATTTAAAATATTATTAGCTACTAAATCGAAATAAATATCTATTATTGTATCCTTTTACCAGTTATTTTTTTTACTCTTTAATCTGCAGTGTTTATTTACTTTACCTCACTTACACTATCCTATTTCAAATAAATTAGAAATGGTTAATTCCTTCACCCAAATTTTAGATAAAAAACATAATGCAAACATATATTAAATCAAAAACCTTACAAGCCCATCCCGGGGGCCAATGATATTATTAAAATTATACCAATTAATCAGTTGGAACGTTATACTGCTCATAATTTCAATTTACATTGAAATAATTTTAAAAAGAATATTTTTTAAAAAATAAAATTCCGGGCCGGACCAAAGGCCTAGCTTGAAAATATTTTTATTTCGACTTCTACAAGTTTTTCATAATAGTAATTAAAATAGTTCTTTCTTTCCTCACAATTTTAAAAATGTTACTTATGAGGTCTTGAAATGTGATTAACAATATATGAGATATCCCCCTTCGTGATCAATCTGATACTATAGCTGATTTGTTGAATTAAACTGAAAACTTAAGGCAAGGCATTTATAAATATTTGACTAAATTTTAACTAAACTAGGTCAGATAATATTGGCTATAGCTATTATATAGTCTTTTAGACAAACCAGTGTCTTTTTTCTAAGCATTTTTCAAAAAAATATCATATTTAATCACATGTTAAAATTTAATTTTTTATACATGTTAAATTTTAATATTTGTAACATTTTTTTATTCGATTTTATGACTGAAACGTGTGATCCCAAAATATAAGAAAAATACTCAAAAAGCAGTATATTTCGTTTTTATTTAATTAAAATTTAAACCAATTAAAATAATGTTTTTTTAAAGCAAGAGTATTTATAATTAATTAATTTTATAGTTGGTATCAAAGTATTGATAAATAAATGAGAATGATTAAGGATCTTAAGAATTTATATTCCAGGTCTTGGAAATTTTTCATAGATAATTTTAATAATCTTGCGTTTATTTGTTAGGATCAACATATATACGTACTAACCCCCTTATATGAAACATTCGGATTAAGAATAGCTAAAAAAATTTGAATAAACTTTATTTTGATAAAAAGCATTATTTAAATTTTACAACTTTTTTACATTAATATAATTAGATACAAATATCGCATTGGTATTACAATTTCAATTGAATTATTGCAGGTCAAAATAAAGGATTATTGTTTATATATAAATATTTCGAAATTTTGTCCTATAAATATATTATCATATAAAATTTCTATCTTCTTGACTAACTTTACGAACCTTTTTTTAAAAAAACTTTATGGTTAAATTATGAAAATTTGAAATAATATCAAAAACAAAAATTTTATATTCATAAAATATAAGTTTTGTCAATAAAAATTATAGATAAAACTGTATTAACTGGATAACCAATAAAGTCACGCTAAATTAATGATAGGATAATCTTTTATTCTATAACATGACAGGCTAAAGATTGACTATTTGTAACTTGATTAATAACCTGTTTTTTTTAAATTTCCAATTAAAAAGGTTATGGTAATTCAAGAAAATGATTCATATTTCAGTTTTTTGAAAATCATAGTTCAGAAAAATCTGTAAGAAGATACTTTGATTCTCTTAAAAAATGATAATTAGGTATGTTTTATGGTCAGGCTATGTAGCTATACTCTTCAGGGAAATCAGTTTTGCGTTTCACGTATTGTTTTTCAATGAGTGTTTCTATGCATTTTTTGATGACATTAACACTGGGAACAAATCTAGATTTTGATTGTTCGATGACCTAAGAATGTTTTAATATATTATTTTTAAAAAAATTAGTTATCTGCGCAACATTTTATGATCAAAGACCATGATTCAAAAATGTGCTTAGATGAGCGCTTCTTTAATTTAAGGAAAGAAAAAAATTGGTCTCAATTAATTAAGTTGCACTTTATATATTTCGATTATATAACTTAGAATAAAAATTTTAATTCAAAAATTTTATCATGGATCATTATGGCTTCCTGTATTAATTCAAAACAATACATTAATCCTTCATATATCGATCATATAAAGCATAAAAAATAGAATATTTAAATTTTGATTAAAATGCCTAATTTTATTTATATTACCCCAAAGATGGATAGATAGAAAAGTAGAAAGTAACGATAACTTATAATTTCAAGTGATAAACCTCCTGAACCAATTGGTTATGTTGTGCTACTTTTCGCGATTTCATAATTCTAACGATAACGGCTTGAAGGTACAATTTCCGATCTTCCTCCACAGCCATGTGAGTTTGTTCATTGTCCTAGTGTAATAAATTTTTAATATGTAAGTGAAAAATGTTTAGCCATAATATTTTTAGATCAATCATTCTTTCCGAAATAAGTTTATAATTAATCATAACTATATGAACAGAAAATAAAATTAAAACCCTAGTTGAAGTTGATGGAAGCTCCTCGTCTATGTTTCCAGATGCATTCGTGAGAACAGCAAGAGACGCTGGGAGAGGAGGGATGCTGAGCTTGATCTTGCTTTTCTTACTCTGAAAATCTGTGTTGAGAGAATATTTACAAGTTTCCATGTCGCAAAATAAGGTCTCCAAGTATTTGGGATCGGTTAAGGCTTGAGATATGGGTTTGACTGTTAGAAGATTAAGAGTGTTTGTCTTGTTCACAACAGCAACAAAAAAAAAATTTATTAACCAAATGGAAAAGTATATTTTCAAAATAATTTAGCCTAAAATAAAAATTAGAAAATTTCTCAGAGCCATAAATTTAAAGAATTAAAATCGGGACATTATAGCCAGTTTATTACTGACTGAACTTCTAATTATATATCGAATAATAAAACTTAATATTACGGCTTTGTTTAAAAATAATATTATTTTGTAACTGAAATTATATGCAATGTATCTCCGATTGTAAAAACGCAATACAAAAAAATGCTATTTTAGAAATTGTAAGGACATTCTTTAAAATTGCCTAATAATGCTGTTAAACTAATATTTATAAACCTACCTCCAAATTAACTTTGTATATATTGAGTAGGAAAAAATCTAGAAGGGCGTATAAATGGCGCTTAAGTTCTTGGTTGGCGAGCCCCGTTTCTCTCTGAATGTGGTCGTAACTCAAATGAAGATTACATTTTGCATTATTGGCAACGAGATTGGCATTGCAATTGTTCAGAACTTTATCAGTGTTACAAGGGCTCATCGATGTGTTGTTATTAAATAGAAGAAGGATAGCCATTTGAAATGTGTTGAGTGATAAGAAATATGGTTTTGGCAGATATGTTATTTTGAGCTCGCCTAAATATATAAAATTAAAGATATACTTTGCACAAAACTGAAAGGAACAAAAATTTATATCCAAATAAGGCATGGGAAATTTATATTAAATAAGGCAATTGTGAAAGGATGTTTACTGAAACTATTGCTACATTAATTAACTATATTGAAAAATAAATTTAGACGTTTTAAACCATTGATTAATCCAGCTAAATAGATGCAATTTAAATAGATTCAGACATTAAAATTCTTATTTATCTTTGCATATAACACAAACCGATTAATGAATTGTTTTTATTACGTCACACTTGGCAATTGATCAAAGTTTAGTTTTATATCGAAGTAATAATCCCATCAACAGATACAACTTTTAATTTGGCTTTCAAAATGATTTATACATTTCAGTAAAATTATTTTTGATTGATTAAAATAATAATTTTCTTTACCCATGGATAAATGGAACAGCCACATAAGTTTTCGACCATTGAAATTGGACGAATAATAAAGTTCGAACTAATTTTAAAAAAATTATAAAGAAAATAGACGAATTTGTTTCTAATTTATTTAAAAAAGATCTTGCAGCTTCTTTCTATATATGTACTTCACCTCTCTTTATTTCCATTATAAGTTCCAGTTTATAACATTTTTTCTGATGGTATAAGGCTTACCGCTTTTTAGATTTCCGGTCCCTAAAAAATCTACTATATATCATCTCATCTTTTCTCTCTAATTTATATGATGTCTTTTTTTTGTTAATTCAGTATTTATCCTTTTTAAATGATTTAAGCTCTCATCTTATTCCAGTCTTTATGAAGTTATTTTAAATAATATAAATAATTGTTTAATAATTTTACTTGGGTTAGACAATTTTCTAAAATAATCGGGGCTTGAAACGAAGGTAAATTAGCTTGATTTATAGGCCAGGCGCCGGCCTTTTTTTAAATAAATAATAAGCTTTATTGATATCATGATAAATAGAATGGCTAAATGAGCTTGAATTTATATAGCCTATAAATAATACCCATACAAAATGGTTACATTATATTTTTAAAAAAGTTTATTATAATATGTATGACATCATCTCTATATACAATATATTAACTTTTAAAACATAATATATATTATATATAAATACAAAACCCTGGCAAAATTTTGAATCCCTAAATAAAAAGGAGCAATAATTGCATCTAAAAATTTCCATTTGGATTTTCAACAAAATTTACTTAGAATCCAGGGCTTGAAATTTAATTCTATGAGCAAATTTTCAATAGTTCAAAATGATAGGGCATCATTGTCTTATAATGAACCTAGCTAATGGGGAAAATAAGGTTTCAGTAAGTGAGTTGTTATTATATTAGTTGAGAAAGCTAATACCTGTAATCCCAAATTTAAATTTAACCCAAGGCCCATGGGATAGTTATTAGATAACTAGGTTTTAAGCCCGTTAAAAGATTACATGGTTCCAAAAGGTTATGTATTCAAGCCTTTTAGCTCATTAGTTTATTAATAGACCAATCTTATTTGCAATTCAAACGTGTCTGTTTTTAGCGTTAAACGAATGGAAATTCATAGTTGTTCATTAGTCAAAAAATTTCCTGTTTTGACTGACAAAGCTTACAGCCCTTCTTGACCTCCAATTTTATCATCGTTTTGAAATAAACGAATGTCTTTGAGAGAATATGAAAAAGGATTTTAAATTAAAAGATATAAAATATTTTTATAAGTTACTAGCTGTAGGAAAACCCATTTTGGTTGTAAAACATTATCTTACCAGTTATATAGGGTCATCTCCAGTAGGTTACCCTTAATGCAAATAAAACTGACTATTAATGAGTTCTTAGTTGGAAAGCATTCGTGTGGCTCAACGTTTTAAAAACATTATATCCTGCAAGCATGAAAGTCTGGAATTTTCAGTAAATAAATAATCTTGACTAAACATATGCAAAATAGTTAACTTTTGATAAGTGTAATCAATTTTGACCAGTCCAAAATTCTTTAAAATGCTATAATTTCAATGTAAATATAGAGGTATGTTGGGATAGAAATCGTTTTTATTTGATATTAATGATAAAATAATTTTTTATTATATATTTGAATATCTATGTAATAATTGTACGTAATATATATCATACAAATAAATATTTATATTTTTATGTGCATATTTTTTTATGGTAGAAAAATAAATAATTGAACGTTGTCTGAGATATTTCAGAATACTCAAACGAATTACAGGCGATCCCAAAGGATACTAGCATTCGTCAGCATATTTCACTCTAAATTTGTCGATCCAATTTCCTAATTATTCACTCTCTTGGTTAATTCGAGTTTATGTTGGAAAAATCTAAGTTGTGGCACCTAAATATTTCTTCACAAAAAGATCGCATCATTATCCCCCCCCCCCCAATCACTAGCAAATTTGCTTCCTACATAACCCGTTTTAATGTATCTTGTATTCTGAAATATATATCTTAGACAACGTTCAATTATTTTGCTACCATAAAAAATATGTTTATAAAAATATAAGTGTGATAGATATTTAGACATGTGCGCCGACAGCATTATCGGCGGCGGCGTTTCTTTTTTCAATGATCGGCTGGCGACGGAAAATCGATTTAGACGCCGCCGCAAATATTTTTATAACTCAAATTATTTTTAAATTAAAATTATAAATTCATTGGAAACATTTATAAAATAAAATTTATGCTTTATTATGTTTATAACTATAATTAAATGATTTTATTAAGTTAAAATTATCATATATAATATTTAGATTTATAGGACATAATAATGATCTTTTAGAATTCAGAGTGAGCCTAACTATGGAAAATACACGCTCGATAGGTGTGCTCGTAACTGGAACGCACAGGACCTTTCTAGCGCATATTGAAAGTTTAGAAAGATCCAATGCTCTTATCTTCCAAAAATCTAAGAAATCTTTATCTCTAAATTATAAGGCGAAAATAATGAATAACACTCTTTTTCTAAACTAGTCAACATCGGGCCTAATTTTTCAAGCCCGGCCCGAATTTTTTTTAAAAATGTATTGCCGGCCCGGCCCAAGCCCAAAATTTTTTTTAAAAAAATTCACCGACCCTGCCCGAATTTATTTAAATATAGGAATTCATTTTTATAATTACTCAAAATAAAAGACATATGTTATATGTCGTTTAGTTTCAATAAATAAAATCAAATATTTTTATTTTACATAAAAAATTCAATAAAAAATTGATAAATTTAGATATATTTAAAAAAAATTCCAAGGTCCGACCCGACCCGGCCCAATTTTTTTAAAAATATTAGGCCCGGCCCAAACCCGATTATTTCGGGCCGGGTACGGGCCGGGCATAACTTTGCAGATCTCTAAGTTAAATAGTCTTGTTTTTCAGATTATTGTTATGAATAGATGAATGTTTCGTAGCCAATGTAAGATAATCGAATTTTGAAGCAACTTCCGTCATTTCACATTCGGTTAATTCGTCCGTGTAAGTAGCGTGTTGACATAAAAATTGCACCTGGGTAATATTTTTTTTCTTTAAATATTCATTTACTATGTTTATAGATTGAAAATGAGGATCCAAAAGTGCTCCTAACATCTAAGTAAAAAAATAAAACAAAGAGAAACAATATAAAAAAAATAATTTATGTATTTTAAAATACTACCTGAAGATCGATTATTGGAAATCTATGATCAAATTTAGTAAGCATATTTTGTTTAAGGGATGCATGGGAGGATTATTATATTCTTATACAATTAAATGATATTTAATTTCACTACGAAATAGTAAGGATAAATTTATAGTAACTCCTTTTTGGACGTATAAAAATTCAACAGTTTTTTTGAAGGTTCTAAGAAAATTTAAAAGTTCATGCACAAAGTCCCAATCGGAGTTAAAAAATCTTGTAAATCTTTTGTATCTAAAATAATGCCATATTTCTACATAATAAAAAGTTAATAATAAAAATTTTATGCCATAAAAAATTCTAAATGTGTGAGATCAGTTTTATTTAAATATTCTATTATAAAATAATTAAATATTTTAATAGTTAAAATAAAAATTAAGATAAAAATAATAAAATATATAATAATATCAATACCTTTTCTGTTTTACTATCCTAATCTTATTATATCTAGCACGTTGGTCACACCTGCCCAAAGTGCGCCAACGTGAATTATATGGATTATTACAAATCAAATTTATAGCAAATAATATTTATTAATTTTAAAAAATAAAATCACATTTGAATAATTCAAAAAATAATATTATTTTTAATAATAAAAAAAGCATCACGCCACCACGCCGCCGAATTTTTACATCGGCGGCGGCGTGTTGAGCGCCGACACTTTTTGGTGGCGGTCGGCGTGGTCAAAAATCACCGGCGGCGGCGCACATGTCTATAGATATTCCATAAATATTCAATTTTATAATTTTTTTAAATGTATTATTTATTTTATAATTTTTGCTTTATAACTCTTATAAAATTGATATTAAAAGATCTGTCAAGCTTTTAAATAATTATCATATTAGATAATAAAAGTAAATTAATGGTGAAATATTTGGGTCTGCACTAACCCCACTAATGCGCTCACGTTATTTTAACGAATGCACCTTCCAGAATTTGGGCCAATTTCCAGTTCTGTTGATAAGCTAAAGTTTAAAAAGGTTTTGAAAAGTAACTCCAAAATTAAAAGAATGTTTTAAATAAAAATGTTAGTATAGCGGAAGGGTGCAATAATTTAGTTGTGTGTAAAACATTTTCAAATTATAAAAAAAATCTGATGCGCCGAAAGATTATATAGGATGTTAAAAATTTTGTTCAAAATGAACAATAGGTTAAATTATCGAAAATGGTAGATATTGGCGCTTTATTCAATTATTTAAAATTTAGCATATTTTGTGAAAGGATCAGATTACAATATATATAAATATAATGTTCTAAGGTTTTATGGAATACTTGGCTATGTTTCATGCACCCGATTTTTAAGCTTTGTTATAGACCATGGGGCGAATTTTTTTCTTTTGTTAAAACAAAATATCTTAATTTTTTTTAATTTTTTTTTATTTGACAAATCAATTTATTATCGTTAAATAATATTATGTCTTCGGTACTCCACATCTACTGGAATATATTTCCGACCAAATATTTTTCAAATTTAAAAATGGCAATAAATAATTTAAAATGAGATTCCAATTTCCCACCATATATATTAAAATATATAAGTGAAGTAATCAAAACAACAAAAAATGGGAAATAATTTTTAAAATTTAGTTTCATATTTTTCAATAGTTCACAAATAAATATTGATAAAAATTATTACTAAGATTCTAGATAGCATTTTAAGAAAAACTTCCCTTATGACATTCGGTTGGTTGAACAAGGAATCTGGCTAGAATGACAACAGCATCGATTCAAAATTTTTATTTATTTTCTTTGACTGTATAACTGATTTTATCTCCGTATCAAGATTAGACTTGATAATCGTTAGAAGTTGATGATTCACTACTACTAACAATCATATAAATCGGACCAATTACTGACCCAAAAATATTGGGGATAATGTCATAAAGATTAAAAATATTGTGTATTTAGGTACAAAGAGTGGCAGGATCTCCTCACCATTTTTATCTGAACAACTATTTCTTTTAAAGGTACGATTATTAAATTCATATTCTTAATTGCGGCCAATAAATGAGACCAGTTATCTCGGTGTAATTCGAGGCGATACTGTTGTCATCGTAATCTCCTTGTTGCAAATTTTATTTTATTTATAATAAAAATATTAATTTAAAAAATATATTCTATTTAAAACATATTAAAAAATAACTAATCCATCTTCATGCATGGACTTAGAGAGGTCGAGATATTTTAGAAAAGAATAGCGAGTTTCAAAAAAAATTAAAGTGAATTAAATTTATACAAACTGACAAAAAATTATTATTTTTCCATAATATATTTTGGAAAATATTTTAAAAAAATTAGCTCAAAAAACCCTCGGACAATTATAAAGCCTAGTCCCGCATTACAATCCTATGATGCACACTTTTCTAAGTTGTTATTTCTTTTCTTTTATCTTCTCTTCTCTAATTTTATATATATCTTATAAGAAATAATATTGATTTGCAGGGCATATGCTCAAAACTAACAGAAATTTACAATAGTGATAATTCATCTGTTTGTAACGACTTTTACTTGGTTTCACTTTCACTAATTATCAGCTATAAATGAATGAATATGAAAAACAAAAATTGATAGACTATATACAAATGCATTAGAGAATAAAAGAGTAATACATTATTTGATTAAAAAAACAATTATATATATATTATAGAATAAGGGATTACACCTGCAATATGAAAACGGAAAAGTTGGGTAGTGGAAATGAAAGGGTAAGGCGCTTTAGATAACCTTGAAAACCTTCGTTGTGATCTTTGCTCAGCTTTATATCCGTGAACATTCGGTATAGTTTGTTAGTAAAATCGTAACCGCAAGCTGTCTACATGTCACAATAAAAAATATATACAAAATTAGAGTCCTATACAGATAAGGCCTATATGATAACATTGTCAAAAGATTGGCATAACCAGAAGCTAATGTATGACTAATCATTTTAATGAAATTTGTAATCTGAGTCCAACGTGTAAAATTACTCAGAGGGGATACTTAGGACCAGAGATTTGCAACGTCCGTCCCATAGTCTAATTTTTGGGCCGAGCTGAGAAAAAAAATACTGGGCAAATTTTTTATATATACTTGATGAATTTTAATATTTCATAGAAGTGATATCTATAAGGTATGGTATTTTTAAATTAACCACTCCCCATGATTATAAATAGTTGTTTATTTTGGTGTTTAACAACATAGTTTAGGCTTTTTGTATTTAAAAAAAATTATAAACCGAGTCAGGCAACTTTAGTAAAAAATTGAAACTAAGCCAGGCTGAGCAAAAATTTGGCCGTACTGGGCTTTAACTATATTATGACTGGGTCGGGCCTAAAAAGTTTTCCATTTACAGACCTCTGCTTAAGATCCTTTACCCGTCCAAGTCTAAAAAAATAAACCTATCAAATATTTTTATAGTACAATTCCATTCATTAGATTTGATGTCATAATTCTTTTTTGTTTCTCATTCATTTATGCATTCGTTCTTCCTTTCCTACTAAGTAACCTTTCAATCTGATCTTATACATTAAGGAAACTAAAAATACGATAGTTCTTATATGTATATATAATAATTTCTCTTAAACCTTCAATTTGTTTATCATGTTCTCCTCTGCGTCTAAAGATTGTGAAGAACCAAATATCAGGCGTTTGGCTAACATATTGGCGTAAAACTAAAATGGTATCAAATGTTCACAAAATTATTATGATTTCAAAAAATAGCTTAATAACATCGATGACATTTAATTTTCTTATCATATAAATATCGTGTTTTAAGAATTGATAATTTTATAAACAGTTATATCCAACTTAAGTCGACTGTACTTATTCATATACTAGTATTAAAAAAGTGAGATTATAAAACTTTTATAAGTCACGTTAAATTAAGTGATTACATTATCGAAGTGTAAAAATATATATTGAAAAATTCTGTAAAATATAATATTTTTAATTTATTTTGAAAATTTAATATAAATATTTAGATCCATAGTTGGCACCTAAAAAATAGGGCTGCATAGCCCTATTTATATTTTCGCCGATATTAAAATGATCTGTTTATTGGCAGCTAATTTTTATGCATAAACTTCTTGGAATATTGATATAACATTATAACTTGTTATAATACAAAATTATTATAAGGAGGCTTCAGAATTGGCCGATCAAGAATTTGTTCTGGATCAGATAGGCAAAAAATTGTTAAAATCCGATCTAAAACAAGGCTCATTTCATTTGCCGATGCTGACTATTTAAAATAATTTTGTATGATAAATTATTTTAAAGTTTTAATTTTATTTGATAAATTATTTTAAAGGTTTATAATTCCTAGATGGTTATGCATTAAAAATTTACTGCTATGTAGTAATTCCGAGTTATGCACATTATAACCACATCAGTTTAATATCGGGGAAAATCAGAACAGCCCTACTAAAAAAGGTTCAAAACAAAATAACAAGATTATATAATTTATCTAAATTTAACTATTAATCTAAGTTCAATTTCTTTCTTGATATTTCTAGAATGCGAACGAAATATACTCAAGCATCAGGGGATTCGTGAATGTGACATATTTTAAAATTTAACTACCATTCAAAATATTTTAACAAAAATACAATTTAAATGGGGCCTTAAAGACCTGTTGAAACGTATCCTTGTCTTTCAGGTAGCTGAATAAAGTTACGACGTTGTTTAGCTTGGTTTCCACTTCACTTTCAGGTAAAATTTTTGGATTCTTTTTAAGTAGTATATCACAGTAACGGCTTAACTGAAATAAATAAAAAAAATTGAAATTTGAATATATTATACAATTATATAAATATTGGTAATCAAATTTTGTCTTGGTGAGATATTATTTGAATTTAAATCTCTAAAATTACATGTAGGTTAGTATTTAAATTTTTTTTATTTAGTAAGTGTAAATAATCTAACTCTAAATTAGTATAATTAAAAGGATACTTTAAGGTTTCATAGCTTAGATGAATATTTAAGGATAGTTAGCTATTATTTTTAACCAGAATAATCCGGATAAAAAAAAAGATATTTTCGGAAACATGTTTCAAATCAGGTGAAATTTTGAGGAGATTAGGTATGTTGTGAGGATTATTGCAAAGGAAATTTTATTGCTCTTATCTCTATTAGTTCCGGAGATATGAAAGGGTTTAAAAGTTTAAAAATGGCGCATTTTGCAATATATAAAAAAAAAAAAAATTACTCAAGAAAAATAAATCGTAAAGAATTCGGTGTCGTTAGATAGCCCTTTAAAGTCCTCTACTGAAAAAACTTAAAAAAACGAAGTTTTTATCACCTTCAGAAAAGGTATATGTCAATCTTTTAGTACCAACGATGTTTTCAAAATTTCTGATAAATGTATGGGAAAATCTTTGGAGTAATAATTCGTTTAGTTATTCTATTTTTAATAATTTTCTAACCGATATAAAAGTATATTCTCGAGTATTTTATTAGAGTCTACATATATTTTTCGTTCATGAATTTTGTAGTGTCTTTAAAACGTAGGTGAAAGAACGTAAGCACGTCCAGTTACTATTATGTTGTTTACAACTGCTATAATGTTAGTGACCATGATATAGCTAATTTCGCTTCCGTAGATGGAAAAGTAATGCGGATTAATAAACCTAAATTTACTTTCTAAGAAATCTCATTTTATCTAAAATAACAAACGCCAAAAATTATCGTACAAATAAGTTATATCTATAATATCGTTCATTCGAAATATTGCATCCTAAAATGTTATGTTTTCGACTTTACTTCATTAGTAAAATGAAATATTCTCAAATTATAAGAAAACCCAAATGTATTTTTTGTGTGCCAGCTATTGGGCGTGTCGAATATTTCCTCAGTTTAAATTCTTTTTAATCATAATCTATATCTGTAACAAACGAAAAATATATCTGTTAAATATTTTTCATAAATCGCGAGGGGTTTAAATTTGTTAGGATGAAAGTTTTTGTATTGACTTTATTGCTAAGTTTTTTACAATTATATTGTTCGCAAAAAAATTTCACATTTATATTAAGTTTTTCTAAAAATAAATTATATTCTATTTTTTTTTGAAAAATCATTTAAATTTCTTATATGAATAGTTAATTAAAATATAATCTGATAATAAATATCGATCCAGGATGGATATGTTTTGTAAATTTTATTCATGAATTTATTAAAATATAAGACAATATATCTTAAAATTATCAATAATACCACTTAAATTATCAAAAATGTAGCAAATATTTTTTAAAGTAAAATTTTATAAATCGGGCCGGGGCCTAAATAATTATCAGGTAGGGAGATTTAAAAAATCCGAACCAGGCCGGGGCAGAAATTAAAGAAAATTTTTTATTTTCGCTACAAACTGGACATGAAAATTTAAGAGCTGCGGTCAATTATACTTAAATTCTAATAAATTAGTATAATGGTTAATATTTTGTATAGTGTCATTCAAAATATACTTTTTTATTGGTAAAAAATTTCAAAAAATAATAATTAAAAAGAATTTGTACCACAACGATTTTTTTAGGATTACATTTGAATTACTTTAGTAAACTTTTGAACGGGTGGCCGGTTCAATAAAATCGACCTTTACCTTTCTCGAAAGTGATAAAACAGTTAATTTATCATCGTTATTAGATTTTTTAAATATAGGACTTTAAGGACTATCTAATGACACCGAATATTGGTCAGAGGTTTTATGTAACTTTAAACGCTCATATCTTCCGAATTAATAGAGCTGGAGCAATAAAATTTTGATCCTTCACAAAATATCTAACCATTGTAAAAAATTTCCTTTGAAATGTTTCATGAAATTCAAATTTATAATGAAATGACCGCCTGAATTGTATAATTTAATCAATGAAAGTTCCTAGCTTTCTTAAATTATTACCACCTGATTTAAAAAAACATTGTTAATATTAAAAATCATTTTAATTCTTTTTTGTTTAAATCCAATATTTCTCAATCAATCTGCCATTATATTCTCCTAATCTCATATTTATTATTTACCAATCTTTAATAATAAATCAAATGCACATATAGTTAGGATTCTACTTATATAATAATCGTTTTTTGTAATAAATAATAAAATTCATATTTTCCAAAAAAATTACTTGTTCAGGGGCTCGACAATAGATTTTGAAATCAGATTTGTAGTTAATCGCGATTGAACAGGCCTGTTGACATTTAAAAATCACGAGATAATATATAAATCATAATTTCAAAAAAAAGTCTTATAATACTATATTTGTAAACTTCAGATAAATTTTAATGTTATTTTAAATACAAAATTTTATAAATCTTTATTTTTTATAAATAATCTTTAAAATATGCAAATTACGCGAATTGAAACATTAGAATTTAGAGAGAGTCAGAAAAAGAACAAAACTAAAGTTACTTTGTTTCATTTTTTAATTCTGTATGAGACCGAGCGAATAAAAGGATTAGATAAGTCTATATTATTCCAAATTCTATTATTTGATCAGCATAAATGTGATATTGGTCAACTACAAAAGAATAGAGATCAGGATAAAAAAAATTAGAGCAAATTTTGAAAGGCTTTTCCTGATAAAATAATTAAGCGTTCATAATTGAATCGTTTGGCGAAGATAAAGTTGCCTATTTTTCTTCAGGGAAATTTCTAATTACTAATAGACTAATTTTAATTACACAATGTATTTCAGTCTCTCCTGCTAGATTAGAAGTGTCTACTAAATTGTTTTCTATATCTCCTTTGTCGCTGAAAGCTCTATATTGCAGTGTAAATATGACAATATGTTCGAAAAAAAATCCATAAAACTTGATGAAAGTTAAGCGTTTTAAATTTTATATCATTTTATAGAATGAACAACCAAAAATAATTAATCTATTTTTCAAAAGCAAATTATCCCAATAATATATAAGGCCATCATTGTAAATCTTTATGGTTAGTGTGTATCTAAAAATAATTTTAAAATTTATTTAAAATTTTGTAATTAATTATTTACCCCGAAAGATCCTAAAAATGCTGAACATATTATTTATCATTTTTGGAAACGAAAAATTGGGAAACGAGTATTAACTTACAAAAATTGGCCAATATATTATGGTTTTTTAGGCCAAATTCGGGATATTTTTTATAACGTATTTTACTAAAATTCATCATAATCTATCTAAATATATTATTTATTTATTTATTTTTAATAAAATGGCAGATGGATAAAAATTTAAGTTTAAAATCAATGTAACATAAATGGTATGTTAACCGCGAGTGGGTTTATTACATTAAAAAAAATATAAAATAAGTATAGGATTTTAATGCCTTATTTTATTTTAATTTAGTATATGGTCTTTTTTATAATCGTTAGAAATAATTAAGATTGTTTGCAAGCTGAAACTTATTATCTTGTTTTATAAATAACACACTTTAAACAAAGATATAAGATTAATTGAAAATAAATATATTTACTTTTTTATAATAAGTATATAATAAAAATGGCGTTCAATTAATCCCGTTTTTAATGTATTTATTGCCATTCTAGTATCATTATATAATAATTGTATTATAGGTTAAAACTAATAAGGTGATTTTTTAAGTTGGTAAATTTATAAATACTTTGTCGAGTGAGGCTAGGAATCGGGTATCGGAATCGAATGTGATCTTAATCATGGTTTTATATTTGCTGTGAATGGCTAGTATAGATTCTACGAACATAGTGGGATCCTTAAGATAAAGTAATAATTTCTATAGTTAAAATCACTATTTACTCATTTGAGAAAAAGGAAAGAACTAAGAATTCCAATGTAATAAATTATTTTAACTAATGTTTGTACATTTTCGTTTTCGAGTTCATTAATCTTGGCCATGCAAACGTCGGTTATGTGTTGTCCGAGCGTGTCTATCAAGGCCCCCAGGCTTCCCTCAATCGGATTCAAGATAGAGAACATAAGACTTAAATCTAGGTTATATATACATATATTTAACAGAATTTTCGTTTATCCCCCTTTTTCTGTTATGGCTTGCCCACTCAATAAAACCTTTGCTTAAAGATTACAGAGCCCTTATTTGAGTTTGTTGTCTCTATAAATTTTCTTTGCTAGTAAATCCTTAATTTTTTATTATTCCTTTGCTACATTCAATTTCAGTAGTACCAGGGATTCCTATTCTTATTCCCTTTGTTATTTTCCGCTAAATAAAAAATCGAATTCTCGGGGGGAGGGGGGGGGGAAGCAACCTTTGATCATCTCCTGGCGTATCATCTCTTTGGATTCAGCGTGCAAAAATGGTAAAACATCAGTCACGAGCCTTTTTTGACAAACACTCTCTGCTTTCGGGAGAGTATTTGGGTCTACCAAATTTTTGTTCCTTTTAACTTCGTCGGCTAGTTTGGCAACAACCTGATTTGTTTGAGAAAACAGTGTTTATTAAAATGGGATAAAATGAAAAGATAAGTGACTATCATTATTTTTATAGATCTGATATAGGCGAAGAAAGATTAATTTAAGTAAAATTACTAAATACGTATGAGCTAAGGCCTAATGTGGGTGCGATGATTAATTTATAATGAATAACCAATAAATACGAATCATTATTTTCATCATTGCGAGTTATGACTAGTAAATTTTTTTTGTTATAAAAATAAATAATGGTGACTCCAGGTACATTCTTTCCACTCTCCTTACAATCATTGCCTTAATTGAAACAAATAGATCATGATCATATTCACTCTACCTCTTATCTTTGCTAATTCTGACGTTATAAGGTAGCCCCTCATAATTAGTCAGACAATACTTAAGAGATCCATAATATATTAGTAATAAACGCGAAGTACAATCTCGAACGAAATTTTGCCAATTCTGTCATGTTTTGGCAAAATCCCATGGGTTAGCTAATATTTGTTTGTCTAAATATCTAATTTAGCCGTTTCTTAATATCGCTTTTATTAAAAACATTATCTCTAACAATTTCGCGGGTGATAAATTGCATTAGGTTATTCTAATTGGATAGTAGTAATGAATTAATTGATTTTTTTAAAGTAAGTCAAAAATAAATATATAATCAATGAATAATGAATAAATATCAATCACAAAATAAAGTATATTACAAGACCATAGATTATTGGTATTAATCTCTCAACTGAGGACATTCTCATTTTAAAGTATCTAAGACAAGAATAGAGCCATGTGGCATGAGGTTATGATTGCATTCGGATTTGGAAATGAGGGTGGCATTAGATAACAGATTGGACTGTAGTGTGAAATATGCCTATCTATTAAAATATTGCTGGAAAGCGTTTAACTTGAAGGGTAAGCATAGCCTCACTTGTATTCTGGAAGGAAGGGGGGTCAATCGCCACAGAAAAATCGATTAAATAATCTTGAATAAATTAAATTCAGCCAATCACACCATTTTTCTTGAACTACTATACCTATCGTTGTCCAATGATAAAGTCTAATTGGTAACCCATGGATTCGAGATTCAAATCACAAATGTAACAATATTAAAAATAATTATAATAATGTGTCCATTTTTTTATTATCATAGACAAATGAATAGAAATTATTGGGAGTATATATTATTTTGTATTCATTAATGTTTAATAATGTTAAGCCTAATAATTTGTCAAACTTGTTTCAACAATATTTTTATGCATGATACTATAATATAAACCGCTTATGAAGCTTCCAATGGAAACAAGATTTTAAAACGTTATAACTGAAGAAAAATTACAATGTAAATTAAAAGGTATCTGAGACCCGAAATAAAAATTCTAGTGTCGGGTTATTTTGTAATTATATTTTTAGAAATTTATAAATGAAAACAATCAAATAATATCCTATTAAAAGTTAAATAAGGCATTATAATATTATTATTTCGAAATTGTAAGAATATCACTTTACTTTTTGCATGTATTGCGAGCACGTCAATTTTTCGTCATTGAGCAGATAATTTGAATAATTTTTGTAGAATTCGCCAGTTTCCTCCAGGTAAGCAATTTCAAAAACGTTTTCGTATAGCTATTGTATTATTTTTTTAAATAATTGATTTATTAAATGTTAAAATGGCAACCTTTTATTTTATTATGCCTGCCTATAAAGGGGGGGGGGGGTATGAAAATCGTATCATAATTCAAATAAAAAGATATAATATTTAGCATTAAAATATATTTCATACTATTCAATTCTCTCCTATTTAAAAATATGCAAAAACAAATTTCACTTGTAAGTTAAATTTAAAAGTATTTGAGCAAGCCTAAATCACTAAAATTGACGTTTTGCACGTCCATGCATTTATAGTAAAAATAGCGAGATTCCTGAAACACACATTAAAATAATACTGGACCATTTATCATTAATATCATATGTATTACTTACTAGAAAAAAAACTAAATAATCATTAATACTTTTTTAAGGGGGAATATGATTTTAAATTTATAATTTCTGTTCCATAATATGAAAATTGCTATATATAACAAATTTATCTGGCATATTTTTTTAAAAAATGATTAAAAAATATAAATCAAATTAAAATTTATAAAAAAATTTTTTAAAGAAAAGTATAGCCCTTCAACTATTTGAATTGGAAAATTTGGATAATATATTTTTTCAGGACTGTGAACCCTAACCCGGATCCTTCGAACCCTGGTATTTTATTAACGAGAACCCTGAAACCCGAACCGTATTTTAAATGCAGGATTCAAGGTTCAAGAATTTTTAAAAAAATTTACAAATTTTCATTTATTTTATTTTATTTTTTTAAATTACAAAAAAATGAACAGCATAAAAAAATAACATGTAAAATATTATTTAAATAAATATTTAAAACATCATTATGTTTTTTTATTTTCAATATTAAGAACATTTTTTGTGAAAATCAATTTTCATGGAATCATTTTTTATATTAGTGTCTCCATCTTATGTAAATTAAAACTTTTCTGAACACCGAACCCACACTGGGTTCAGAGATTATTCACTGAACCCAAACTCTTATTTTGGAGGAAGGTTCACAAGCCCTGTATTTTTTAACCAAGATTATCTAATCAAAAATTGGTATTTTTTAAATAAACCTTCCTCAGGTGTTTGGTGTTGCGTTCGACTTCAACGAAACTAAATATGATCTCACGTAGTAAAGGGATCGAGTCATCACTCTCACTTCTTAGAGCATCGCTTGAGTTGTACACTTTATTATTGAAAAATAATGAGGAAGTGAAATAATAATATTTTACCAGTCCTAAGTTCAGGTGGGTGAAGAGGATGAGGAGGGAATGCCATTGGTCAGATAGGGTGAATTTACTATGAGACGTTGTCTCCTAAACCAGCCTTCAGCTGGGTTGGGAGGGAAAAAAGGAAGTAATGTGAAGCGCAAAAAATTATATTTACGATATTTTATTTGCCTGAAATTATTATGAACAAAATTCAATCTCTGCCTCTGTTGGATATTCCTACAATACCTTTTTATTTTAAATTATTCTTATTTCAATTTTTGATTCATCCTTTAAAACATAGCATAATTTTTAGATATATATTTATTTATTTTTATATTATATTTTGGAAAAGCTATTTGCAAATTTGCTAACAATATTTTATTTCTTTTAATTAAAATTAAATATTTTAACGTTTAAGACAACATAAGATTATAGTTTCAATTGATCATTGTTATTTTGTATAAATATAAGATCTTTTTCCTTATTATCATTATTACAATTTTTATTTGTTAAAAATTATTGCTTAAATGATATAATACAATAAAAGATAAAGTGTATATGTCCGCTGTTTCACTATTTACTTTAGCCCTCCCCCTGGAGTTTAGAAACGAAACCCCTCTCCTATCTAGGAAATAGAATCCATTTTTTTAATAAAAGTGTGTATAATTTATATTATATTGTTCGAAATATTATATGATTAGTTTTAGATTGTTTATTTAACGATTTAATTTTTTCATTGCTAATTAGAGTATAGAACCCAAACTTGGAAAACCCCGAAACTGGCCAAATATAGTAACCATAATAAGAGCCTATTTAAGATTTCTAAGAGAGCGATTATTAAATATTCCAGAACCCTTTTAGTCCTTGTAAATTTTAATTTTTTTCCCTTCCTCTTGGAGAAAATCTTGACAAGCACTCTTTTGTTAATAGAACATTAATTTTTTTAAATGGCTCTTTAACTACTATGTACATCAGATAATTAAGGTCAAAGTTTTACTTCGATTCAGAGGACCCTTAGCATAAGACAATGAGTATTGATATATTCGCAAATTAAATATGCATGAAGATTTGCTATAGGTACTTTGACAAGTGCAGATCTAATCATGTGTATAATCAGATAATCATACCGAAATTAGTATAAGAATGGTCCCCCTTCCGCCTGTCACGTAAAATGGCCGCCATCAGCAACCGTCTTAAAGTGCCGGCCAGCGGTTCGATGACGTGATGTCTCCAGGTGACTAGGGCCAGATCTCCCACTTCCAATAGCAAGCCTGGATTTGTATCACGTAATAACGGGTCTGAATTGTCTATTTATTTTTTTAAGAGAAAAACTCACAAATTAATTTTATTAAAAATCTAATTAATGCTCCATATACGTCAGATGTTTTAGTGTAACCCATCGTGCTGATCTTTTATAGACCGGTTCCATAAATGGTCCAAACGGTTTTTTGTATTAATTATTAAAACAGACTTCTTAAACATATAACTATTCATAATCATTTAATATTAAGCAAATAGCTATAATTAATCTCCTTTGAATTTAAATTATTTCGTTAAATGAATCGAACATAAAAACTTTCCAACCAAAAAATTTCACAAAGGTTACATTTTTGTTTTTGATTCTATTGGAAAAATATTGAAAATTGGCATATAATACATACTGGTTTTTTTTTGCTTTTGTTATTTAATTTTGTTTTTATTTTTCAATAATGCCGTTGTCGCACTTTTAAGATTCTCGCCCATTTCAATAAATATGATCTGAAATTATGAAATTTCTTTAAATTATAAAATAAAAAATTATTATCTGCGAAAAAAAATAAGGGGCGTGCCTTGCCGTAAAAACCTCATTCAAAATTGCCAGTCATTTATTGAGGCATCGGGTCCTTTATCAAAATGTACATTATTTAAATACCGTCTGTTCGGGGCAAGGTAACAGGGTGGAGATCTACGAATAATCGCCCGTATTTGACGTCCGCTTCTTTGTACTTTTGTTTCCGAATATATTGAGCGTTTAAGTATCTAATCGTGAAATTGAATATTAGAAAGAGATGAAGCAAGAAGCAAAATGCTGAAAAAGAGTCTACACACATTTTATGTATTATGTAAAGTAAATTGATTCCTTAGAAAAAATACATTTTCAAATATTAATCTGTTTAATAAACACAAATCTAGCAGAAAAAAAGAAAACATTTCTTTACATTTGGTGTGTATATGCGCTCAATCCATTACATTAAGAATTTATTGACCATAAAAATTAGCTGTTAATTTTTATACCCAGCTTCTATTTATAAATTTCTATTAAAATTATAGACTATATATTATAAATGTGACTGGGAGGCTTAAGATAAATTGCGTTAAGAGATTGGATATGTTGGATATGATGGAAGCAAGACCTATTGTATAGAATCATATAAAATCAGAGATGCACTGATATTACCTTTTTAGCCAACACCCAAACCAATTCAAAATATCATCCGATACCAGTGTTGTTAAAGTTATTTTTAAAAGTAGGTTATAAGTTACATTCTTAAAGAGATAACTAGTTACAGTAAGTCGTCATTTTTAATACAATTTTTTTATTAAAAAAATAATTTTGCGATTACAAATAATTACATTAAAAAAATATACCACAATGTAATATTTATTAGCAATGCAAATCAAAATTTTGATTTTTAATTTAATGAATTAAATAAAGTTCGTTAAGCTATACCTATTTTAAAGGAAAAATCTAGTATCACTTTTGAAGACACTTTGGGATGTCTCAATGATTATCAAGTGGATGTGAAACTGAAAGAGGGATTTTCACCCATATTTTTAGCATGTCGACAGGCTCCTTTTGAGTGGGAAATATGTGCCGATTTTCGTGTAACATTAAACCAGTAGGTCGTTAGGGAAAAGAAAAAGGAAAGGGGGAGAAGAAAATTGAAAAATGCTCTGTAAAAAAAATTTTATTTTATCTCCACCAAAATATTTTAATATTCAAATTTAAATATATAATTTATTAATTAAAAATTGGATTTATTACCTTAGAATTGAGGAAATTTTAGCCAATTTAAAATAAAAATATTTTCCAATATGGATCAGCATATTTGCAGTTACCCTTGAAGGAAGAAATTCACAAGTCATTGACAATTACTACTCCTTTGAATTCCAGGGTTTGGAGGGCGTTTTTTATTATATAGATGTATAGATTATGGGAGTGATTCCGGAACAACATAACCATTAGTGTTGTTAAAAGGCTCGATTTGAACCAATTTTTAAAAATGGCTAACTGAATATTTTATCCACAAAAATATTATGCAATCCTGAAGATTTCGCCTATAGATGACACAAAGGTTCAGACATCTATTTGAGAAATCTCGATGCTTAAACAAGTGTTTTCTTGTTATAATATTGATAGTCGTTTAACAACACTAATAACCATTGTCTTGAAGAAGTTTTTGAGAGGATCCTTGACAAAGGCTTAAGAGCCAGTCTAGATAAAAGTGTTTTGGGAGTGACTGAAATTGTTATTTAGGTTATAAAATAAATGAAATTGGGGTGAAACCTTCAGGCAAAAATCTAATATAGACAATGTTAACCCTAAAGAACAAAGCGGAAATTCAGTCCTTTCCGGATATGGTCAATTGTTAAGACAGATTTATCATGGATTTAGCTTCAGTAGCATTGCCTATATATAAAATATTTAAAAAGGGTGTTCCTTTATGGAAAAGTGAACAGCAAACCGTTTTTAATCCGTTAAATTGGACTGTTAGTGCTTCTGTATCTTGAGAAGCTATAGATAATCATTCTGTATTTACATGTCTTGGGATTAGGAATCTCATTAAAAAAAATCAATATGAATGTGATCCCACAATTGCTTCATTTTTGTTAACCATCTCTTTTCAGGGCATGGTGGCATAATTACTACAAGGAACACACTTCATCTATAATATATAATTCATTTTTAATAATTATTTTTCCACTGTTCCAGTTAAAAACAACTTTAACTGACATAATTCCTTATCCTTTACGGTATTCACTTTAAGACACCCCCCACCCAATTAGTAGGACCTCCTTTTAAAATATGAGAGAGTGAATCAAAGCTTTCTCTCTATCAGTAACATTATCAATAATTATATCGGGATCTACACTTATTGATCCTAACCTTGGTAAAATGTCAGGCAAGTGATTTTCTCTACCCCATACCTCAATTCCAAATTAAAACTACCCAAGAACAACAACCACAGCTGTAATCTAGTAGATAACATTAATTCCTTATTTTTTAAATAATTGAATTAAGGTAATATGATCAGTGTACACAACAAATTTCTTACCAATCAGATATTCTCGACATTTGGACATATTATATATTATTGCCAAAGCCTCTTGCTTAATAACTAAGTAAGGCGATACAGCATCTCTAAATACTCATGAAAAAAAGTAATATGTCTTTCTAACTCCTCTATTAATGTTATAATGCACCTCCTACACCTTTATTAGAGGCAACAACAGCTAGAATTATTTCTAAATCTTTATTAAAACAAACTAAAATTGGTTCATGTATATTTTATAGCGTAAAAAATTTATCTTTCTATTTTCTAACTTAAAATTAGCTCATTCCTCTATAAATTTTTATATTAATTTATAAAATCAAGGCTATATAGATTTATAAGTTACTCAATTTGAAATTTCTATAATAAATGTTGATATAATAATAAATAACTAATAATTTACTCATATTAAGCATTTTGAATTAATTTATAAAAATTATAATGGATATGGACATTAAATAATTTTATTAAAATTGATAAATTTTGAGGTTTTTACAATATGTTAAGGACAAAGACTCAACTAAATATATTAAAAAATTAATTTGCTATTTTTGTTCCCATAATATTTATTAAATAAATTTGGAGTGGTAATGATTTCTGCTAGTGTTGTTAGATGACTCAATTTGAGCATATGATTAAAAAGGGTTAGCTTAATATTTATCCAGAAAAATATTGCTTAAAGGCACACAAATTTGACATTTATTTGAGAAACCTTGAGGCTTAAGTAATATTTTTCTGGCTAAAATATTATTGATATTTTTAGATAAACTCAAATCAAGCTATTTAACAACACCACTTAGAATTTAACATTAAATACATATCAAAAAAATTTAATTAAAATGTATAGAATTATTTGTAATTTTAGATTTACACTTAAATTATTTTTAAGTGATTAACTAATAAAATAAATAATATATTATTATACTAATATATAACAAAATTGTCAAATTACCCATATAATTGATTTAAATATGTTGCTCCTTTGCTATAATCAAGCCAGTGTTTGTGGTAGTTGAACAACAGTATGTCATCATCTAGGTTTAATATTTCCTTAAAAAGTTAAAAATAAAATATTTTATATAAAGTTATACTTGATATATTTTTTTAACATGCACCTCTAAAAATATTTTCGTTGATTGATAAAGTTCTTCACATAGTGGGTCTGGAATTGCAGTGCATATCGTATAAATATCTCTTTAAAATTGCACATAAATTATAAGTAAAATTAATATAATAAATATGTCAAATTTGAAAAAATTCGTTAATATTAATTAAAAACAATCATAAATTACAAAAATCTATCATTCCACACATTTTTAGGGACTTTACTCAATGTCATAACTCCCTCTAGAGTATTCTGTATACAAGTCCATACTCCATCAAAGTTTACCTTTCGAGGTTTGAGCGACATATATTTTATAGCATTCCAAATGTGAAAATAAAAAAAAAGAAAAGTAGTAAATTGACATGGGAAACTGTCAGTTTGATAAAATGATATTGTATGGGTCACGTGAGATAGGACATAAATGTCGATCATGTTGTGACATCATGTTTTTTAAAATAAATATATTTAAAAAATGAAGAATATAAAATAGTCATATAATGTTATAATACCAGTGATATAAGGGCTAAAATATCTAATTCTTTCTAGTTTTTAAAATTGGATTCTTAAAATCCTAGCTTATTCTTATATAAATTAACCTTAACCTTAGCCTTCATCATTTTATGCTTGAAGAAAAAAAGGATTTGTTATTATCTCATGTTTTTGTTTCTTTATATAGAAATTCATTTATTCACCAAATAATAAAACTTAAAATCGTCAACATTTAAAACATAATACATAAATTACTTTTTTAAAAAATTAATGAAATATATATGATGCATAGGCGTAGCCAGGATTTTCCTAAGGAGTGCGAGTAGAAGGGGGGGGAGAAATTAAATAATTATTGTAGGTTTCGCCCCCAGAACCCATTTGAGCGGGCCTTCGGTCCGCTTTAGCACAGCCTTCGGCCGGGTAACCTTAGTCTATATATAGTCATAAAATATTTTTACACGCATGGTAATAATTTATTCCAAACAAGTATAAGAATTTCATTTATAAAAAGTAAGTAGACATATAGTTGATATTTATCTATTATATAGATTAGTTACAAATTTCTAGGTAAAATTCCACTTTTACAGACATATTTGACAGTTTGAGAATATATTACAGTTAATATTTAAAAAATTTTACTAATCAATAGTCTTGATAATAAATATAGCAACAATTTGCATTCAATTATTTAACGCCATCTATTTATTTTAAAAAATGATATTAAAAATTAATTTTTATATTAAAAGATATTTATTGATGTCCTTATCAATATTTTATAGTTTTCTGTAAAATATTTTCGTTATATTGATAAAAATTACTTGATTGTCATATGATATTTGATAAAATTAGATATACTGTAAATCTACGCAATGGCGTCGCTAGAAGGGGGGGCGCAGGAACTCGATCCCCCTGAAGCAAAATTTTTTTTTTAATGGCTCCTTAATATCCCCTTGAACTAAGAATAAATTTTTTTGATTGCCCACTGAATGATTTCTTTTATAATTCCATTAAGTAATATATAGATATAATTTTATTATTTAGAAATTATTAAGACTATTTAAATTTTTATTAAATGAATATTATTTTAATTATTAGATTCGATTAATACATATAAATTATATTTTCACTATGTCAGCTTGCAATCAAATTCTGTATTAAAAATATAATATCAATAACTCACTAAATATTAATTTAGTTTTAACATTTAAAGTTTAATTGACTTTTATTATTTAAATTATTATTTAACCGTAATTAAATACATATAATCATATATTATTTGAAAATTAACAAATTTAATATTGTAATTAGCCGAGTTCAAAATGACTAATCAAGTGTATATTTATTTTTAAATTTTATTATCATACCTTAAAAATATTTTCAAGGTCCAAATAAGTATAAGAGATTTCTTTATAAAAAGTAAGTAGACATATAGTATATAATCTTCTACTAAATACAGTTGTTTATAAAATATTAGATATAATGCCACTTTTATAAACGTATTTGACAGTTATATAATATATTACAGTCAGTGGCGTAGCTAGGAATTTTCCTTAGAGGGGGTCCATACATATATAAGACTGGGAAGCTTCGACCCCCAGACAACCTTTAACGGGCCTTCGGCCCTTTGCTTGGCCTTCGGCCGGGTTTATCTCAAAAGTCATAACAATATCTTCGATATTATATAATAAATATAGTTAATGCATCAATAATATATTATTATAATTTAGTAGATAATCTCAATGATTTTATAATAATACTATCCAGAATAATTTCAATAGTAATATATTATCCTTCCACGACATCAAAAATAGAAAAATATAAATATTCATGTATTCATTTCATTTGATATAAAGAAACTTTTAAGTCTTTTGAACGTATAATCTTAAAAAAATTTTGCTCTGGGAGGGGTCCAAACCCGAAAACCACCCCCGTAGCTACGCCACTGATTACAGTTAATATTATAATAAATTTTACTAATAAATGGTTTGACAATAAATACAATAACAAATTGCATTCAAGTATTTAACGCCACTATTTAGTTATAAATAATTTTAATTAAACATTTTATTATTCATCTTGCAATAGATGTAATAAATTTGATATCTTTTCTTCTCTTTTTAACGTGTTTTTAGGAAAGCTATTTTTTTCTTTTTCGAAAAACAGTCTTGAGTTAAATTTTTAATACAAGTATATTCTTGATATTATTACAAACTTCTATTATTTTAAAATATAATATACCAAGGTGGTGCGACAATATATAAAATCTTAAATGTTTCAACATATCATTCTGGTCCTTATTTTATAGGTAGATTTTTCATTTCTAATATGGCATTGCAGTGTAAATAACTTCAGGCTACAATATATTTGCATAATTATTTCTTCCAAAGAGTTTTAGTGTTTTTATTTTATCAATTTATCCAACATAATAAATTCTGATATTAGTTTACATCGTGAGTTTCATGGCTATTACTGCAAATTAACTACGTCTATTATTTGTGTTGCTATGTAATTTAAGATTATTACTAACGGCTAAGAGCATATAATTGCATATTTTAGATAAACAATAATGGTCAACTGTGTAGTCGTTTATATATCATTTAAAATGGAAGATAATCTTTTAGAAATTTAATATCTCACAATAATTTTCTAGATTACTTATCTAGCTTCCATCATGTCATCTAAGAGGAAGCTCTAACCACCATATAGTTTTATAATTTGGAGTGATCGTTTATACTCATACCTTCAAAAATTGTTGATTGGGTTTAGGTTAATAAATTTTTCCTTATTAGTCCACTCTATAAAATATTGTCTAAAATGATATCAGAGAGCTAAACTTGTTTGATAACCTTTTGTCAATGTAAGTTGCTAAGAATTATATTATTGCATTATGTTGTTTTTTATATGTCAGTTTATTTTGTATGCAAAATATAATAAATGACATAATATAAAAATCAAAATAATTGTTCAGAGTTAACAAATTTTAAAAAAGTATAATATATTAATATAAAACCCGGCCGAAGGCCTGGCAAAAGCGAGCCGAAGGTCCGCAAATTGGGGAGTATAAGGGGCTTCGCCCCCCATAGAATTTTTTTAGTTGAGCCCCCTGAGATTGTGAAGGCTAGCGACGCCCTTAAATCTACGACATATAATTAGTGTTGTTAAACTACCTAACTTTAGTCAACTATAAAACAGTGTAGCCATATTTTTAACCAAAAATATTAGAATCAATCTTCAAGTTGAGACTCAACTTAGAAGCTTAATTCAATTTTTTAGGTTACAAGCTTGACTAAGTCACAGTAGAGATGGTCAAAGTTAGGTAATTTAACAACACTACATATAATATTCCACAGTTTGTACTGTGCTTTAATTTTTATTATTTCATTTATGATTTAATTTTATCGATAGTTTTATCTTACTTTTATTAAGATAAATAAATTAAAATTACTAACTTTATAAAAATTTTATTTGATATATGATATTATTTAGTAATTTTATGGATCTATTATTAATAATTATAATTCATTTCACTTTGGTCTTAAGACTTATCTTTGGCTTACATTCCATTTCTTAAAAAATATTTTGGTTCACTTTATATATATATGCTTTTTTCCAAAAATGTATAAATAAAAAAATATCAACTTTTACTTTCTTTCTTTCAAATTATTGTTTAAGATATATGCATACATTTTTGGGAAGAAGTGGGGGGGGGGGGAGAACTAAGGGTGATATTTTTTATTAGCTTAAGATGATATTCACAAAAAGTGATAAATTTTTGAAGAAGGGGATTACCTCAACCCCCCCCCCCCTGACTACGCCTATGATATGATGAGAATAAATAATTACTATTCCATTTTTTTAGTATTAATAAACATGTTAATTCTCAAAATATCTCTCCATTTTAAGTTAGGTAATATCTTGTCCTGCTATTGAGATTTTTGGCCCGTTTTTATATGAGCTTCGACCGGGATTTTCATAGCGTAATAGCTAGAAACTATTTTATAGGATAGGAGGTTAATTTTAAAAAAAGCAACAGTAATTTTAAGGACACGTTAATAGTAATTATATAAAATTGATTTTTCTCATAAATTTGCCATTAGCTTGCATTTCATGGGAGATAATATAACCTAGTAAAAATAGTATTAAGTATTACCTATTAAGATTGTGAATAGTATTAATTAACATATCATAAAGATTACATTAATTTTTCTAGAATTTTTTCGAAAAATAAGATAAATAATGCTCTCTTTTCTTTTATTCATGCTTTGTCACTGATTCTCCTTAAATTTTGTTTATATATAATTCATTTTCTTCAGATTCTACTATATCTTCTCTAACTTTCTCTAATAAATATCATTATCCATAATTTTTGCGTTAAATAAAAATCAAAAGGAATAATAATAGTAATTAAAAACTTAAATTAAATGACTAATTTAAATTTCAAAATAGTACTATTAAATTAATTAGTTTAAAAAAAATTAAAAATTAACTTGTTGATAGTGTCTATTGAATGAATTATAATTTTAAAGAAACAGTTAATTTGTATATAAAATTTGGAAGGATAAATTAAAAATTGTAAAATTGAAGGGTTTAAATTGTAAGCAAATTATAGGACAATTATAAATAATTATTGTTATTTTAGAAATATATATACTAAAATCAAAAATATAATAATAAAAATAGAAAAGAAAGAAAAAGGAATTTTTATATAATTTTTTAGTTTTATTTTATATTTTTACGTTTTAGTTTTATTTATGTTACTGTATAATGATTTAGTTTAACTATATATATGTAAAAAAATTAATTTGGCTTCTTCGATTCGTGTTCATATTAATAACTTGTGTTCTAAGATATCTTTCTATTTTTTAA